TTATATAGCTGGCTAATCTTAGGAGCGCGACTTTCTACATGGATGTGGTAAAATACAAAGGATTAGATTTAAAGGTAGTTTTTTAAAATATGTTTATCATTTTTTTTATAATGAATATATATTTAATGGATAATTTATCCGTATACTTAGGGGTAACAGGGTCGCTTTATTTGAAAACTAGTTTCTTTTTTTTTTTTTTACTTTTTAGTGATATATATAAAATGAAATGAACCCACCGATTAATGTTAGAAATTTATTAACAAATAAACTATTCTGAAATTATAATGATAAATTTGATACCTCTAGATAGTTCATTTCACTATTAACGTTTATCATTTGATTTTTAGGGCAGATATATGCAGTTAGTAACAATTTTAAGCGCAAGATGGAAATATGGTAAAGAGAAAAAATTGCAATGCATGAACAATATGCAATATTAATTATATAGTAGCCATAAATTTTAATTTATTACTCCCTGGTCTTAAATATAAGACCTATTTGTAGTATAAATTACACTATAAGGTATGTCTTATATTTAGGATCAGAAAAGTATAATATATATTGATTAAGATGTTAAATATTGAAAAAACATTGTATGTTACCTGTCATATAGGGTCATAATGTATCATGTTATAAGGACAATCATAATTGAGTTCTTGATAAGATTTGAATTGTTCCGCTCGTAGAAAAACACGGAAAATTCAGGATCCAAAGTTGAATTAATCTCTTAAGATCGATTCCATTGTCTTTTGTTGCTATTTTTAACTTTCACATTACATGAATTGAATGATACGACCTATGTCTGGTTCAATGTGATAAGCACCTTATTATTTGAAATGAAAACTATTAATGTCAATATTAATTCACTCTTCATGCATGTTTTGTCATTAATGATCTGTTAATTTTTATTCCATTGTATTCAAAGAAAGAACAATGTTAATCCTTAATTCAAAGAACACTACAACAAAATGTGTTATTTACCTCTCTCGTTCATGTGTGCTTCTAAAAACAGAAGGGAAAAACCTACATATCCTCCTTTGTTATATAGGCTTCTCATTTGTTTAATATGAACAACCTTCTCATCTGTTTCAAAGAAACAAACAAGAAGATATAGGCTTCTTGTCTGTTTAATATGAACAACCTTCTCGTCTGTTTCAAAGAAAAATAGACAAGAACTTCTCATCTGTTTAAGCAAAACAAACGGGAACTCTCGTCTATTCATATTAAACAGACGAGAAGGTAGCCACCTTCTCATCTGTTTTGGTAGAAACAACATGAAGGCGGCTTTGTTTTAAAAAAAAATTGCCCTACCAGCTACCGTGAAACTCTTATACGTTTACCACCAGGCCCCAAGGGAACTCTGAAGCTCTCCCTCTCATTTCCGTCTTCTACCAACCGCGAATCTTTGAAACTCTCTCTCTCATTTCCGTTACAGCTCTCAAGGCCGTCATTCTGCAACTCCTCACCATCGTTCTGCATGCTTTGAACAAAGAGGCTCAACACAGTAAGTTAGCTCCACATCATGAAGACAGCAATGTAGTTCACACAGCAGCAGCTCGTCGTCCTTCTCCTATCTCCAGGCCATGACACTCTAACTCAAAGGCAAGCCAGAAGAGTCTTTGTAGTGAAGGTAAGTTCAAGAGCAATGTTCCTCTTTTAGTTCTTTTACACGTATAAGTTAGTTTAATGTGTTGTGGGTTTGTGTAAGTTAAGGAATCTTGAGTTGGTTTGTAAGGTTGTAGTTTAAATTTTTATTGAAGAATTGTGTTGAAGAATTATATAACGAGTGGGAATCGTGCAGGCAAAAATGGCACAACAACTTGGGTATATCCCAATGTGAGTAGTTTGAATTGAAGTTCTTTCATTAATGACAGTTATTTTATATATGACCATTTCCTTGTGATTTGCGGTGTCCTAAGCAACAAGGGTCAACAGAGTGTGAATATTATATTATCTGTTATTTGTTTAAAATTATTGAGAGTGGATGTACTTCAAAATTTGATGAGGCAAGTAAATATTTTTAGTTTTGTAATAGTTGTTGAATTTTTAAATTGAATTGTTACTAATTTCATTTTCTTCATGTGTTTAAATTTGTTCATTTATCAATTTACAGATTTTTAGTAATGACTACTCATACACCGTTGATGATATTGACTTTTTCAGAGACCTTTTGGCACAGCAACTGCTTCAAGAATAATGGTCTAGGGATTGATAAAGTTTATGTTTAGAGACAATAAGTTATCAATTTTGACTTTTGCAATTTGTTCTTTTTGATTAGTTAGTTAATGTGTTAATATATTGATGAAATCATAATAGTGATATATATGTTGGCTAAAAATATTGATTAGTTTAAATGTTAGACTATTTCAACTTGTTGGAAAATGGCTATTGTGGTTGTTGTGGCTGTATGGGAAGTGGTATTCGAGAAGTGAATTTTTTTTTTAAAAAAAAATGAGCACATTCACTTCTATTTCAAGAAAACAATAGTAAATGAGAACTTTTTATTTCTGTTATGAAAAAATAGAAGTAAAAAAATCACATTTTTTACGTCTGTTTTATATCAAAACAGACATAAATAATCCATTATTTACATCTGTTTTGACAAAAATAGAAGTAAAAAAGTGTTTTTACTTCTATTCAAAATAGACGTAAAAAAAGTCTATTTTTCTCCTCTATTCAAAACAGGAGTAAAAAGTGGGGTACTTTTTATGTCCTTCTTTTCATGTTCCCCAAAACAGAAGTAAAAAGTCATTCAAAATAGAAGTAAAAAGCCTTCATTGTAGTAGTGGAAATTTCTATTCAGTTAAAAATACCACAGGATTTTAAAAAAAAAATTAATTGGTAGAATGGTGAGTATACTGCACACTTGGATAATTGTTTTATTCATGAATTTTATCGTTTGATGTATGCCGACGCATGCGCAAACACATATGGACATATAGAGCGATTAATTTTTAATCTTTGGTGCCTATCTTAATTTCAAAGATTTGAATGAATGTGGCTTATCATAAAAATATTCCCTTTGGTTCACAAGATAAATTGCTTCTAGAAAAATAATTTGGTTCAAAATATAAATTAATTGGGGAGTAATTAATGCTTATTTGTCAATTTTGTCCCTACATTCAAAACTTAAATGTAACTCTATATAGTTTTCTCTCTTTCACAACCTCATTTAAGAGGTTAGAATGAATTAGTTAAAATGCCTTATATTATAAACTTGAAGGAGTAAATATAAATTAATTACAAATCACTTGAAAGGAGGAACATGTTGGGATCATGCTGCTTCGTTGGTTAGTGAGAAAAACAACAATGGAGACTTGAAACACATGACACTGTGTTCCTGAAACCAAACATGTTCTGACTTATTGTCTCGGATATTATTAATCGATCACTCTCCCTGCAATTTTCATGTATGATTATGTTTTTGTGTTCTTGCATGTGCTTCTCATTTCTCTCCATGTGATCCACACTCTAATCAACTTAATGCATCATTAATCCGCCACACACACTTCCTTCGTAATATATAATCCTCTCCAATTAAAAAATTACTTGCTCCAATCATAAATGTAGAAGTTAATTATATGATGTTCGATATATGAGGTGTTAATCCACTTTGCCCTAAAATTTCTAGTTTTTTTCCTAGTGCATCTTTATTGATTACATACATTATGAAAGTGGTTTTCATCAATGGGGTAATGATCAAAAGAGATATTTTAGAGAAACTAACACACATTTATTATAAATAACTAAAAGAGAATGACAAATAAAGACTATGAAAATTCCAAAATCCTAAATCAGGATTAGTTTAATAAGTTTTGACAACAAGCTGCAAATAACAACCCATTTTTGTAAAAATATCTGATTTGGGATTTTGCAATTTTCACAAACCTTTTTTTTTCATTTTCCAATTAGTTAATTAATTAATTTTTTAATATTCTTAAATTAGCTATGTAGGACCAAATGGAGGATGTGTATATATTTTCTAACACATTATTATCACTTTAGAGTTGCCCACATATAGATATTAAAAAATTTAATAAATAACCTATCGTTTTAAAAAAATATTATGATTTTTTAAAAAAAATATTTTTATTAATTATACTTTCCATTAAGGGAAAATGGCAAATAAAGACCCCCCAATATGTGAAATTGTGATTTGGGACCCTAAATTTGCAAAAAGACAAATAAAGACCCGGTCTCATATTGCAAATATGAAATCTTGGTGAAATGTCTGAAATATCTCTCAGCCAAATGACAAGTTGACTATGAAAAATAACAAGTTCACTTTAACAAATGACAACTTCAGTAGAACAAATCACATCTTGGCTGAGGGGCATTTCAGACATTTCACCAAAATTTTATATTTAAAATATGGATTCGGGTCTTTATTTGCTATTTTTCAAATCCAAGGTCCCAAGTCACAATTTCACATATTGGGGGTCTTTATTTGCTATTTTTCCTTCCATTAAACCTATAATTGTGAAAAAAAATCAATACTTTCTTGGAAATCCCAAGTAACAATCACTGATTTAAAAAACAGTGATACACGTCTAAAATGATTATTTTGGACCAGATGGAGAAACAAGTATATGAACTATTGGAATCCAACATTTTATTACAAAAAAGCATATTATTATTTTCTCTGTTGTGGTCGGTTCAAGTCTACTATTTTTCCCTTCATGCGACAGGGTGGTATTATTATTATTATTATTATTAGTAGTAGTAGTAGTTTTGACTTTTAGCTACCGATCCATGTCCCCCCTTCCCTTCTTCTATCGATCTTAATATAGTATATATAGTAATATATAATTACTACATTGATGTTATAGCGTGATCAAGACACAAATCATGTATTGTAAGTAGTTCTTTTGCAACAACACAAACCTTCACTAAATAAAAATCAACTTAGATATTCATGAAACCGCAAAACAGATATTTCTATTGAATAAACCTCTCTTATTATTATATCTATTCCTCCAACTACATTATTTAACGCCTAATCTCTTAGATGTTCTTTGATAGCCTCTTCAAGAATTCATCAAAGTCATCACCTCTACCCAGCATGCTAAGTCTAGCATATCTTGGGTCAGATCCAAATCGAGTCCCACCTCGAACAAGTATTTTCAATTCTTTTTCCAAATAACTCTCACAATCTGCGTCATCCTTCTTGCACTTCAACCATGCAAAAGCTAAAATAAAGAAAACCCAATAAACGTTATTAGAACCAAATACTAAATGGAATGAGCAAAAGTATATATTTTTAAGTAACAAAATATACCAGGATATGTCTCAGATGATTCATTAGTGAAGTTACAATAAGCCCTTGAAAAGTTTGGCAAACTGAAATAACCATTTTGCTTAGTGGCTTCTCTCAGCTTTTCCCACCTTTGCTTCATAAAGAGCCTACTATGCTCAAAAAACAAATCAGATTCTTTAGACCCAAGTTTGAAATTCTTATAGCTATCACAAAGAACTTCAATTATCTTAGCAACTCGAGTTTGAGATTCTTTCGACACTCCAATGGAGCTCATCTGTATAAACTTGGTCATCTTTTTTGCGATCTCTTTATCCTTCACAATAGCCCACCTTCACAATAATACCAGCCAAAACCGAACACTAATTAAACCCCTTGACTCAAACACTATGAATATGGTATTCAAATACAGGATTCGGGAAGTGACTTACCCAATACGAGAACCAGCATGACCAGTGCATTTGGAGAAAGTGAAGAGCATAAGATCATGATTGGCTCTGTGGGTAATGGGAGTGTAATGAGGCCAATAATAAGCAAGGTCATGAATCAGCTTCCCTTCAGCTCCACACTTTTTCTTATTCACCACAGGTCCTCTGATGCTACCATCTGGATTATTGGGAGACGTCACTACCTCTATATATGCTTCATTCTTATCATACTTCATTGCATCACCACTCCATTTGTGCATCCGTGAACGCAGAATATCTGTTTGATCTTCATACTCCTGCGCGCACACATGTTTCAGCGCTCTTTATTTTCTCTTAACACAAAAGCCTCATGTTTGAAGTCTTAAGAGATTATTCTTTGAGTTTTGAGATTGACCAGCAAGAATAATACACACACACACACAAAAAAAATTAATCAAAGACCAACTCCAGAAAAAAAGAAAAAGAAAAAGAAAAGTGCCTGTCAACTTTGTTGTCTGCTAATAAAACCGAAGCCTTTGGCTAGACCTAGTGGAGATTAGTGGCTCAGCAATTGTCACCCACAATTTGTAACAACTTTTACCAGCACACTGTTTATTAACAGATAAATAAATTATTTATTATTTCTGTCTGCAATAATAATTATGACAAATGGAAGCTTTGTAAGTTGACCAAACATAAAAATATATAATATAATTGACTGGTTATGGTCACATGGTGTGGGGGCCATAAGGACTGATCATTTCATAGAATAGAACTGTTTGAGTTTCATATAATTGGAAGCAGAAGTGGGACATATGTGTGGAGGTGAATTACAACCAGAAACTAGTATATTCGTTGATGTGATAAGGTAACAACTAACCAAGTGAGGACAAGATAGGCCAATATTCTTGTAGCTTAGTGGCATGAATGCTTTTCTACAAGTAGAAGGTTATAGATTTGATCTTGCTCGTAATTTAAGGACACTAGAACTAGTTTTGCCCCTCAAATTTTCAAAAAAAGAAAAAACAAAGGGAGGACAAGATGGAAGAAATGGAGAAGAACACCACATACAAAGGACCGCAATAGGAAAGAAGAATTTTTTTTTTGGGTGAAATTTTTTAATTATTAAATAACCCACAATATCCTCAAAGTGACAATGAATTTAATTTCCGGGGAAAAAAGGTTAGGCAGTGCTGGCCCCAAAAAATACCCATTAAATAAGTTTATTTAGAAATTCTTATAAATTATATAATACACAAAATATGCAGTCATCAACAACTCGCCATACAGTACAATAATGAATTGATGATAACCAATAACAAGTCATAGAAATTAATCATAGAGGAAAAAGAAACCGCCATGATTAACTAAAAAGATTTTCGATGAAAGAGAGAGAAACTCACCGAATAGTAAGGAGCAGCAGCGACGACGTTGATGGGGTCATCGGAAGAAGAAGAAAAAGAAGAAGAGAGAGCGAAGAGAGCTGCCTGAAAGAGCTGCGTGGAGCCATTTCCGATCACAATGTGGCTATCGTCCGTCTCTGCGTTACCAACCAAAGCATGAAGCCTTTTAATGGCGTCTCTGAGCTCCGGCATCATAAACCAACACACACTCCTCAGGTCACTCAGATAACTCAGAAGCTCGCAACCCTTTATCTCCACCTTACACTTCTCGCTCATCTTCCTCCAGTACGCCTCAAACACAACTGGATCTCCTCTGCAGAGCAACCCAACACATTGAACAATCAAACCAGAAACTATATATACTATCAACGTATCACACACACACACAGATCTGAATTGATTTCTTACTGGTCTAGGTTGATGAAGGAGCTGGGGAGAGGAGAGATATTAGTGGAGGAGAGGAAGCCATTATTGCTGTTGTTGAGAGGAAGAGAAGGAAGATTTGGAACTGGCGGTGATGGAGTAGTGCTGTGGTAAAGGCTTGTTTGGTCTGCAACTAAGCTCTTCATTATGTATGCTCTTTTGTGTCTTGTTTTCTCGAACTGGTTAATGATCTTTTGTGAGTGTGTCTGTGTGTTTGTGTGTATATATAGTGTGGTGCCTCTCTATATAGTTAATTTCCAAGGGAAGGGTTCATGAATCCAAATATTTCTAATTAGAATATCATATCTATATATACAGAGAACCGAAGAATATTATCTTATTAAATTGCGTCAGTCATATGTATCCAGAGATAAGCTTTTTCGTATCGTAGCTAGCTATCTAATCTTAGTAACAGGATCGCTTTTATTAGAAAACTGGCTTCTTTATTTTGCAATGCATGAACAATAAGTTAAAATTACACAGCTGCGGCATAAATTTTGATACATTATAATGCATTGATTATGATGTTAATTATTCAAAAAAAAATTAAGTTATATCAGTCAAATTGGGTCATAATTTATCTCGTTATAAGGATAATTATAATTGAGTTCTTGATAACATTTTAATTTTAATTTTCTGCTCATAGAAACAGAGGGAAAATTCAGGATCCAAAGTTGAAATAATCTTTTATGATCAATCCATGCATAGTTTATGTTCCCATGCTTTTTGTTGCTAATTTTAGCCTTTGTACATTACGTTAATTTGAATTGAATGACGAGACCTATGTTTGATTCAATGTAATAAGCACCTTAGAATTTGAAATGGAAACTATTAATGTCAAGATTCACTCCTCATGCATGTTTTGTTAATTAATTCTGTTAATTTTTATTCCATTCAATGACAATATGTTAATTGTCGTCGATAATTTTTTTCATAGGTTTTATCATTTTCTTGTAAGCTGACATCTGTCTGTGTGTGTCTTAATTTCTGATTTTTGGTGTTTATCTTAATCTTAAGGATTTGATTGGAAGTGTCTAGAAATTAGAGGAAACAAATTACTTTCTTCCGTGCTAAATATAAAAATTAGTAGAATTGTTTGTTTTGATGGTAAAATATAAGGCATGAATTTACTTTTTATTAAATTATAATTTTTCCTGAATATTTATTATTGATTATTACGGTCTATATATTAAGGGCTATTCAATCAAGACAATAGTTTTCAATACAAATTAATAAAAAAATAACACCTCCGATTCTAATTATAAGACATTATTTATAAATTATAAACAAGATCTTATAAATTAAGATCGGATGTAGTAATTTAGATTTTGTCTGAAAAAAATACTCTGGGGAAATTATCAATATAAAACTCAAGTAGCATTGGCATAATGGTGAGTTGGTGACTAACTAGACAAGTGGGTGGATTTCACCTGTTCCTACCTCAAATCCCACCTAGTAAAAAGATACTGAGGAGGGCTCTACTTATTGCACGGTCCAAGGGAACTAGTCTCCAACTTTGACTAGGAGATACCTTTGAAAGAACTTAAATAATTTGTTTAACCTTTATAAATTAGTGATCTAAATTTTTTTTTTCATTTAAGGTCGAAAAGAGTAAGTACAAATCACTTCAAAAGAGGAACGAGCTGGGATTGTGCTGGTTCGCTGGTTAGTGAGAAAAACAACAATGAGGGCTTCAAACACATGACATTGTGTTCGTCAATCTAAACATGTTTTGACTTTTTGTCTCAACTATTATTAATCACTCCCAGGAAATTTTCGTGAATATTCCTTTTTGTGTGTTCATGCATGTGCTTCTCATCTCTTTGCATGTGATCCATGTACTCTTCTATTCTATAATACTCCTTCCATCTAATCAACTTAATTAATGCATTAATCTGCACCATAAAATTCCTTTATAATGTAGTCCTCTCCAATTAAAAAATTATGTATATATATTTCCTGACATATTATTATAAAAATATGTTAAAAAAATCAATACTTTCTTGAAAATCTAAAGTAACATTTATTTAATTTAAAACAAAGATAAACATCTAAAATAATGATTATTATGAAACAGATGGAGGAACAAGCATATGTACTATTAAAATCCGACATTTTATAAAAACAATGCATATTATTGGCTTCTCTGCTGTGGTCGGTTCAAGTCTGGTTTTTTTTTTCATTTGATTGTGTCTATTTTATATATATACATATATATTATTAAACCTTATAAATTATATACACAGCATAATGATTACATTTATATTATCGTGAGAACAAGAGACATAAAGATCCGATGATATAATTTTCTATGTGAATAATATCAAACTTTTAATAACAATAACAAGAAAGAATAACATTTTTTTAACTTTTAAGCAAAACAATTTTAAACTATCTGTGCAAAAAAATTTCCAAAATTTTTTGTGTTCTTTAAAAATGGGATAAAAAATTAAAATAATATTCTTATATAAGTAAACGACAAAAAGTAATTCGATTGGTATGATCCATGGGTTACTCATAACTCATACATGCATTATAAAATATAAAAAGAAAATTTAACAAATGAATGTGGCTATGCAACGATTTAGCATTCCTAGGTTCATTCCCAACTTCTCATCCATCCAAAACATTTTAAAGATGTAGAAAAATCTAGAAAAAAATAAGAAAAACAAATTGACTATGAGAAATTTGAAAATCATAGTTAAAAAACTCAAGACGAAATCATTATGAGATCTAAAGAAATAATCTAATTATTAAAAAAAATGTCAATGACAAATGAGCAGACCATGTTGTCATTTTTTACACAAAACTTGTCACTTACTTGTTATAGAATTTGTTAGTAATTATGCTTCTTTTTTTTTTGGGATGATGTAGTGGTTTTCTCAAAATTCAATGGGCTAAACCAATAAGGGTTGGGTCTAACAAAAGGGACTAGTCCCTCAAAACATGACGAACCAATATTCAAATTCTCCTTAAGAGAAATGTCCATATTTAGTGCCTTATTGTGTCTCGAATAGGATTTGTCTTCAATAAGAGAATACCTATACTTTAGCGCAAAAAACAAAAAATAGATTCAATGGGCTCAAACTAAAGCAATACAATGCCATGGGCTTCACAGAAAAGCCATTAGTGTTGATATATTCCCAGCCCCAGAAAGAATGACTTCAGAAAGCCCTTCTATTATTAGAAAGCGCTTAATGGAGTGGTTTAAAAAAAATTTAAAAAACATTGGTAGGATTACTGTGTCATTCTGTTTCATGCGTGGTACCAAATGAGTAATGTGTAATGAATCAAAGGAAAGTGAAGTTTTGGAGGTTTAAATTCTGGAGTTAATTAATTAGAGAATAAAAAATATTGGGTCAAATCACTGTAGGTTTCAAGCATCCTTCTCATTCAGGAAGGCCCAAAACGCTTCAAAATATAAAAATAAATGTTTTTTAAAAAATGAGTTTTTTCCCAACAAAAAGGGCCATTTTACCTTAAAGATTTTAAACATGAAGGGTATTTCTGTACACACGTCATTGGCCAACCTCTGACGGCATAATAATTACACAATGATCATATTTAACCCCTCCAAAAGCAAAACTTTTCTGCTTAAAACCATGATTTTGAAATCAAATCATGATTTTATAAAAATATAAGATGTCTAAATATTTTTTGGATCAAATCATGATTTGAACTTTAAAAGTGTTTTTGACTAGTTTGCCAAACATATAAAAAAAAAAGAAAAAAAAAACTAAGGTTTTAGGAAAGTGTTACCCGAGGGGGTGAGTGGCAAACGGCAAACTTTTTAAGAGAAAAACCAAGATTTTAAAAAAGTGAAAATTTTTTGCTTTTGGAACGTTAAATATAGTCCTGGGGGTTGTTAGACGTAGGACAACCATATCTAGACAGAAATACCCTTCCCAATCTTGCCTCCTCTCCCTCCTCATTCCACCGAATATATTTTTTGGCATTTGATCTTATATTTTATATGCACACTAATTAATTATTAATTAGCATTTTTAAAAAAATCTATTTAATCTTACATTTTATACACACTAATTATAAATTAATTATATAACTAATAACTTAGTCTTACATATGTATCTTATTTACTAATTTATTATTTCAAACAAAAATATAAATTGAAATTTATCTTTTATATAATTATTATATTAACTTATATCCTTTTTAGTAATTTGCACATGAAAAAAAAATAATTTTGATAAGAACTATTTAAACATTCTCACTTTATTAAAATTATTTTTTTCATAAAATTTATTCTCTAAATAACTTTTTTTTTCAAAAAGCTATTCACAAAATTAAAACAATATAAGATGATATCAAGACCAGATCTCTTTTGCTTTGCATTCTAAATCGTTAAATTTTTTGTTCGATTTAATAAAAGAATGATACTTATACATTTGTGACAACTTATCCACTAAATCTCTTATATCTCCCACAAACCTACAAATTACGAAAATCTGTAGTTGAAAAAAGGAATGGTCAAAGAACCACTCATCTACATTTACAAGTGTGAAGAGATATTGAAAGGCAATCCAATGAATGGCATATTTAATTTCATATTCCTCTCTGAATTGTAGACAAGAGTGAGAGAATCAGATTCTAAGAGCTATGTCTATGCTGGATTTCATTAGGTATTGTTGGAAGCTTCTTCTTGAAAACGTGCTTCCTGCACCTTTCAAATATACTATCATATAATAGATCAAATTTGACTCCTGCTCTCTCCCTATTCACTATAAATAGGATGTGATCGCCTTCCACCATCTTGTAATACCTGTTTCATCAAATGTCATAATTTTCTTAGTTCATAGACGAATTCAGAAAAGAAAACGCATGAGAGGAAAGTAGCACATAATTTAATTTTTCATGAGATTATGCCAGACACGTCAAAAGTGCGCCCCATAAAAAAGTATAACTGACAGGTTTACGTGTCTTGTTTTTTACTTGATCTATTTAGCTTTGGTGTAGTATGTGTCCCTAGTTATTTTTCAAACGTTTAACAAAAAAATCGTTCTTCACTAGATGAGAGTGGAGAAGATTGCAATTCAAGTCCTTCTTAACCGAATTTTTCCCCCCTTTCTCTAATATGAACTGAAGGCACTGCATTTCACTGATCTCTTCTACTAAATTCAGTTTTGCAAGCTTCTTGGAGAATCAGTCCAGGTTAAAGGGCATTTGGAAGCTAACTGATTGAAGTCATCAATCTTGACAACCACAATATAGCGGGTTTTATACTCTGTATCCTTAAATATCAGTTGTGAAAAAGGACAAGGTTATTGTGCATAACATACCAGATACCAGGTTCCAATGGTTGGCAATCTGAATCCTTCTCGATGAAACGATGTCGGTGTTCGATTGGGAGGCGAGGATAAGTCATGGATATTGTGTTAAGTGCTCCGTCATTGTCCTGCCAATCCTCATCCCTGCATAAGCGTAGTACATATGACTTGAATGGTCATTTCCACATTATAAGTTACAGCAGAGTAGAGAGATTTAAAATAAAAATCAGACAAGGGAGCAAAGTTGGTCACAAAAAATAGTAAAAAATGTCCATGATGGATTCCAGTCAAACACATGCCAGATATACTGACATATTTCTTTATAATTCTTTTTCTATTTATTTTTTTTCTAGACCAGGTTTGGTTGAGAAATTTTCACTCAATAATGAATGCTCAAAGCAAGGTGAAATTTATATCTAAGCATTCAATGAATTTGAAACCCACCTGTATCCTTTGTAAGGAGGAGTGGCATCTGAAGGATGACGCCACTGGCTCATCTGGAAGACTCTTAAGAAAAGCATAGGGTGAATTCCAAGTATGCTTGAAGGAACTGTGAAACCCAAGAACTTCCTGGTTTGCTTGGTGGCATAACTGAAGTAATAGGTATTTGGAAATGTATGTAGGCGGTAATTGAGTTTTATAGAGCCTTGAATTGTAAGATCCGGCAGAATCCAATCCTCTGAAGCAAACGGACCTGCATACCCTAGCAGGCACTCAACAAGACCCCAAATTCCCATCTTTCTCCTCGACATGTTAAAGTGATCAAACCCAAAGTTGTAATAGTTCTTCAGCCAGGGAATGTCCAGCCAATCATAGATTATCACTCCAATGCGGCAAAGCTGTAGCAGAGAGACAGGCTTCATTGTTCTTCCATCTTCTGGCCTAAGACAAGTTCAAATTGTAGAGACAAGTTTAGCATAGCAGCATAAGGTTTAGATTCTTCAGAATGAGGAATTTAAGTTAGGAAATTAGCCAAATATGAAGCATGTGAATGCTGAAACAGAAAAACCGTCCTAGTTCAACATTTATCAACACAAAAAAGCTCATAGAACTCAGCTGATAGGCATTTATTCTCCAGAAGCTTAGACAATTCTTTGACTTGTATCCTAAAATAGACAGGACTTTTTTATCGTTATAATCACAAGTTAACAGCAACTTACTGCATGCCATCATAGTAGGTTCTTGTAGTCCCATTGAATGCTCCTGATAAGGATGTTATACTTAACACCCAGTTCTCTGAAGTGTTTTCGTACCCCTTGAATGCCTGAAGACAATATGAACGTCAAAAATGTATCCCATAGAAACCCTTGACTGGAGACGCAGGCAGTACACCATTTGGCGCTTACCTTGTCAGCAAGCATTTGTTGTAAGACACGAACAACTTGTGCTCCAGCTGAATGGCCCACAAAGTGAATAGGGTGATCCTCGTCCCACTCTGGGTATTGCCCTGTATCCATAGTTTATGTATTCAGAATCTTAGACACCTTCAAATTTGAAGGCATTATTATTTAACCAAACAAGATAAAATCAGATGATAGTAGCAGATAAATCCAGATTTGGACATTTACAGAGCTCTAGTCCTCCCATTTTTTTAACCACATACGTTAATTCCTTGAATATCTAGCTTATTACGAGTTATCATTAAATGTCTATTGGCTAACACCATTCAGCTAGTTGGCTCATTAAGGTTTGCAAAAGCAAAACTCATTCTCATGGACGGGGTACGAAATCCTAAAATTTTCTTCCTGGATAGAAAAAAAATGTCATATTCACTTTTCGTCTGCCTTAAAGTTTCGACTTTCGACCAATCCAAGTGAATTTTATTCTCCTCCGAAACGACACCTACTAGCGAAATTCGATTATAAATTACACAAGAATTAAAAACTTTACAAGCCCATTGTAAAAGATAAAACAACAACATATTAGAATAAGCATGAGGTCGAACCTCGTTCATAGATTCGTCCAAACTGCGAGTGTCCGTAAGCCTTGCTGTGCTCTTCACCGTAATCGACTTGCCCACCTTTCAAATAATAGAACAAGTCGCGAGCCCTGAGGTAGAAACCTTTCAGAAATTGTCCGAACAAGCATATAATAATATAACAACCAATGGAAAAGGAAGCCAAATAAATGAACCCCAAAACTTAAAAAAGAGAACTTTTTTCAAACACTAACCGATCATAGATACTGGTTAGAGACCCCAGATCAGGGACGAGAACCCTTTCATCCTTCTTCTCCGCCCCCGCAAAGTATGATAAACCACCCAATCTCTGAAAACACCATTACCCAAATGCAACGCAGAAGAATTAATTCACATGAAACAGAATAAGTCAAAATTTAATGCAACAAATGAAGGTTTACCTACCCCTTTGCCAAATCCGAAAATTCCATGAACTAACACAATGGGAGGAATATCACCAGCATTGGTATTTCCAGGAGCTGGTTCTTTCACGGAGACCTCAATATTCGTATTGGATTTAGAGAAATATTCATTGAGAGCCTGCGAGAGATCTCCGGCAACGGCGGTGCTGAAAATGTAAAACCCGTAAAGCAAATGAACCATGGTGCTGACAAACAGCTCCACCAATTGCAGACAAGCTATCCATAATCGGAACATCTTCCAATGAAAACCGAACAACAACAACCACCTCCAATCCAAGGCAAGAGCCTTCTTTGAGATCAAAATACCAAAAAGAAGGCTCTTCCCTACGCGCAGCTTTTCAGAAGGGCAAACAGAGCAGAAACCGAACGTAGAAGCGCTTCAAGCTATAAAAAGACCTATACAAACACGAACACAATTTCTTCCTCCTATATGATCAGACAAATAGAAGGAAAGCAATTTGTGAACGTTTGAAGCGTCTTACTATTATACTTTGTTCTTTCGGGTTTAAACTTCAGAAGGCTCTGAGTCCCCAAAAACAAGAACAAAAAACTTCAAAAAGCTCAACAGTTTCCCACGATTTCTTCGTTTTCTACCTCACAAATGCCAACGACCAATCAGAACGTTTACCAATCGCTCATTCTTCTTTTGGGCTGGGGAAAACCAGAAGTGTGTATATATATAATAGTAAATAAATAAATATAATGAGAAGAAGAAAAGGAAAAGATTGGTTTTGGTTGGGACACGTGTCAAATTTTTTTTAATTAAAAATGACAAACGGATAATATTTTACTAAGTTTATTCGGATACCATTCCGAGCGTTTCTTTCTAGGCCTTGCTGGCCACCAGTTGTGAGAATCCAAATTCCCAATCATTAAACCAACTTCCAACTACAATCCACTTATCCATTTATTAATTGCAAATAAGTTTTTTTGCCCCAAAAAAGTTGTCTTTTTGTTCCCTTGTAAATAAAATAAATTCTGTTAATATATCGCATCTTTGATAATGGCTGGTGGCTGCTGCCACTTTGACCTTGCCGAAGCAGGGCGACCATTTTCTTTCCTCGTTATTTGAAAGCAGAATTTCTTTTAAAAAAATTGTCAAAGTTCTCTTTTTTATTTTTGCCAAGAAATATCAAAGTTCTCAACCAAAGGAGTTAGTTGCATTTTTAATGTCCAAAGATTCTGACATTACAACTGAAGCCGCGTAGTGCGTGTTCCTTTCTAAAAGATTTAAAGATTATGTATATAAACAAGTGTTTGATGAGCTTTTTTTTTAAAAAAAACACTTCTTGCCAAAAATTGAAGGGAAAATGATGATGCGTTGTGCCATTCATATGGGGTCGGTACAAAAAATGACTTATTTTCAATGTGGATAAAAGGTAGATTATATACTATGATTGATATTTAGATTGATTTTTATAAAAGTTAGTTTGTAAAGTAGAAAAGTTATTTGGATTATGATTGGATAAGTAAATTTAATTTGTAGAATGACCAAAATATGTATGAATTTTATTAAATAATAAAAATAATTAAAAATATGAATTTACAAAATATAATAATTTTAAATTATTGTAATAGAAAAAAGTCATATTTGATGAATAAAATATATTTACATTAGAAATCATAGTAATATAAATTTTTTTTAACAAATAATATCATATAATTAATTAGATAATATACTCTAAACAATTTATATGGATATAAAATGAAAAATAATATTAAAAATATTATAAAAATTTTGTTAAAATTATTTTTAGTTTAAAAAAGCATTAAAAATAAATAAGTAAAAATTATTAGGAAGGACAAGATGTAGAGAGAAGTATAGGACAATATAAATATAGGAGTAAAAATATCTTTTGATTTTGAAAAGTTACTTTTGCATAATCAAGATAAGGCATAAGCCATAAAAATCAACTTATGACTTGAGTGGTTTTTTTAGGCAAAATGATTTATAGCAAAAAATGACGCAAAACATGATAATATAACTCAATCTAATTTTTGCTCCCTAAAAACTACTTTTATCCTCTCCAATCACTCAAGCAAGCAAACCCATAGTCCACATCATGTAGTGAAATAAAGTTAGGTTATTGTTGTTTGTTGTTGCCAAAAATTTAAATTTTTTTGTTTAGTTCACCTAAAATCATCCCAACAAAAATTGCCATGTGGGTTTTTAGCATTTACATAGTTCAGCTAAAAGTTAATATATATTTATTATCAAATTAATATTTTAAATTATATTTAATGGACTTCGTTACATGCATAATTTTGTAAAAAAAAAAAAAAAAGTCTTATGATATTAAAAGAAGGTGGTAGCTTGTTAAACACCTAAGTCGTACCTTATTATGGTTTTGTACTTTTGTTTCTCTTTTAATTTGATGAGTTTTACCCAAATGTAAGTTGCGCTAATAACAACATTGCTTTTTGTGTTTTGAAGATGTTTTAAATTCTCTCTTATTGTTGGTACTTTTGCGTGTGTTTAATATTATCACCCTAATAAAAAGCAATTGTTATTCTTTTGTTTTCCTTATTAATTTTGCATTCAGTGTATTTTATTATTGGCCACCAACTTTGACAAAGCAATCTATCTCTTTCAACTCTGTCATAAATGATACTTGTCAAAGTTGCTGCCCTCTTCTCTCTTCTTTGTCAATATTTGTGTTATGGACTTGTGGTTTGAGTCTTAATGGAATATTTTATAAAATAGTTGACCTATTGGTCAACATTTTTTATAGAAATAACTCGTTTCATGTATGTATGAATTTACAAATGTGTGTATATGTAAAAAAAAGTACAAATAGGTCCCAAATAAGCTCATTAATTAATATGGTCCAATGAAAGGAACTTAATATCCACAGGTCTCTCTCTTGAATAACTTGCGCGAAAAAACTAAAAATAAGTTGTGATATTTTAAATTTGCCTCATGATTATCACAAGAATATTTGTAAAAAATTTTCCCAACTAATTAACTATTTATCGGAAGCAACCCATCAATTTAAAAACTTAATAAAATTATGTTGAAAGTAGAAATTTACATTATAAAAACTCCAAAACACGATGTACTAGAAAAATTTTCTACGTATCACTGTGCTCTTAATAGATCAATATGTCTTTATCACGTTCAAAGTATTTTTTCAACACTCTAAAAGTGAGATGAACGATAACATAAGTTTGAGTTTTTAGTTGACAGTGCCATTTATGTTCAACTCTATGTAACCATTTTTAAGGTCGATACATATCATTTTTTTTTCTCCAAATATGATATTATGAGAAGTTTTCAGTTGATGGCATCTAGTACCGAAACATCTCCTCAATCATAACCATAAAAGGTTTCTTTGAAGGAGTGGACATTATTAGATATTGATACCTTAAACTTATGATCTGATATACCTCTAACAATATTTATAGCATCTGCATATCTTCTACCATTTGTAAGCCTCCACTATAGATTAGTTGCAATTTAATGCTCATTTTTAATCCTTTAGACCACGCAAATCTCTTAAAATTATCTTGATAAAAGTCAAAAGACTTTATATAATCATACTAAGTTGTTGTTCGATTTCAGGTGAGGGAAAAAATTCAGAGGAAAATCCCCCCATTTAAATATACTTTGCAATCTTAACAAAAACATGGTTTCAATTCATTGTTCCTTTCTCGCCCAGAAACACTATAAACTCAAAAGAGTACAACATGCAATAATTTAGTACTATTAAAAGACAACAGATCACCAATGATAAATTTCGCCATTAAAATTAGTTTGCAAGATGTGGAGAAAAAGACGTTGTAATGTTAGTTTGAAATATGAAAAAAAAGAATTGGTTTCTAAGTAAGAAATATAAATCAAAGGCCGAATAAAACAATCAACGAAAAGTGAAAACTAAGCTTTGATATCATAGATATGAACTCAATACTAATTGATGTGAAATAAAGAAATAGAAAACTATCAGAAAACCATATATAAGATTGGAGACAATCAACGAAAGAAAATTGATCCATGAAAATTAATCATCATAAAAAATTGGAACATTTTGTTATAATAAGGAAAAAGTAAAGTAAAGGACCCAGAGAAAAATTCTTTATTGAGGAGGATCATAAAAATTCTAATTATTTAGAAGGATCAAATTTCAAAATATAAATATAAAATACTAAGTTATCCCCGTTCTTAGATACCTCCTCAAACGCTACAGCGTGGAATCGAACCCCCTCGCTTTTAAGTGAGAGGGTGCAATTCTTTGTTAAACTCACTGATGAAGGGTGCTTTTTTCAAAAATTTTATTCTGCCTAAAACAATGTAATTGGGTATGTTATCTAAGTTTTGGGTATTCTGGCCCAAAACAACTAGACGAAATAAGAGCAAAAAATTTTGGGTTCTGAGCTTAGGAATAAGCCCATTATGTGTATGCAAGACCCAAAAAATTTTAAAAGCAGGCCATTTCTAAAATCCAAGAAAGTCAGAGCCCAAATCAAGAGGCCGATTTATTTCCACAAGAAAAGTACAAAGCCCCCGATCATTTTCATTTTTTGGAAGAGAACTACTAAGAAGGTTTTAAATAGAAATCAAATTATGATTTTAAAAGTATTTTTATATTATACAAAATAAATATACAGAAAAATTTATCTCGTTTTATGAAAAAGTACTTTTAAAAAGTACTTTTATACAATCCCAAGCACCCTCTAAAATTGATGAGCAAGGAATACGCACTCTATAAGTGACAGCGGTTGGGGATGAGATGAGATACCTCCTCCCTCTTCTTTTTTTAATTTTTTTTAAAGATTTCATTTATTTTATTTATTTGGGTTAACTTGTATTTAAGCCCTAGTATCCCCAAATTAATTAATTTTTCATATATCTAGAGTATTTTTTCAGCTAGTGAGTATTACTTAAAAAATACTTTAGGAATGTTAGTTACATTAAAAATTAATTTAGAATACTAAATGTTATTGGAAAAATATTTAACGATGTTTGATACATTAAAAATTAATTAATTTAAAATGCTGATCCTACTGTAAAAATACTTTAATGCTTGATACACTAAAAAAATAATTATCTTATAATATTGAGTGCGATGAAAAAATACTTCATAACATTATATGAATGTATAAAAATTAATTAATTAAAATATTAGGTGTTACTAAAAAATATTTTAAAATGTTAGATGACCTAAATATTAATTAATTTAAGATATCAGAGTCTACCATAAAATATCTTAAATTATTGAATGTAAAAATTAATTGAAAATGTTGAGTTTACTCTCTTGAAAAATTTTTTACAAAAAACCAAAAAAAAAGAGGGCCGTCATCCCCAAACGCCGCCGTTTGGGGGATGGGCATGCCCTTGCTCATGGATGCCCGAGCAGGGGAAGAGGCCCCGAGTACTACTAGGGTTTGGGGTTCTGCTGAATGCTGATGGAAATATTTCAATCTAGGAGAGAGGGAAACACAAGGAGGAAGAAATGGCTATGATGCAACTGCATGGGCGCACGAAGAGCGTTGTGAAGCGCTCAAAGAAGTACTTGGAGGAAGCACTTTACCAGAGACTCTTCAAAGAAGGCGGATCTGAGGCGAGTGTCCGGCAGCAGCTGAATCAGTTCATCAAGAGTGGCAAGCGCGTTTACAAATGGGAGGTCGGAGATACCCTCAAGAAGCTTCGTTCTCGCAAACTCTACGGTCCTGCTCTCAAGGCATGGCTTACCACTATTTCCATCTATCACGCGTTTTGTTTTCTGTAGTTTGAAATGAAAATATTTCATTTGGGAAGTTTCCAGTTGTCGTTGGTCTGCCTCACTGACATTTCGTAAGATATGCCTTTAACTTGAGCATATATGACTAGTCAGATGAATGTGAATTTAACGACATTGAGCTTGCGTTGTTGTATTTCTAGAACCAGTGTGTGTATAGACTCTACTTCTTTTTCTTAGTTATTATTTGCCCAATATCTGTAGTTTGATCTGGTATACAATGCAATTTCTGTCTTATATTCGAAGGCAGTAATCGTAGTTATGGAACAGTCGATCAATGTGGGTTGTGAATTATGATAGTAATTGACTAACTTGCACCTGGCAGGCGATTTGCGCGCACAAATGACTTTGTGTTACGCTTGTATAATACCATAGCCACAACTGTTCAAGAACTTGATCCCTATCGGGATGATGACTTTAAAGCTAGACGTGTAACTTTGAAACAGTTTTTTGAAGATTCATGCGATAAATTGTATAAATTCACGATTCATATATTACTAAATTTTGTTATGGTTAACTGTCATTGTGGGAAGCAAATAAGAAAAACTACTCATGCTTGAATTTGGATGTCATAGTTTGCATCGGATAAGTTTATGCTACGTCTAATGGAAAATGGCTCTTATTCTCTTATGTTACAGTTATCAGAAACCATGGGTAAGAGGAATATGATCAAGACTGTCAGTGACCATGCTATACATTTAGATCTGCTTGCAAAAGCTCGGGGTGTCACAGCTGCTGAAAATTATTTCATTGATCTTCCTGAATCGGCAAAAAATCACCTTTGTTATGGTGCCCTTTTGAACTGTTACTGCAAAGAATTGATGACTGAGAAAGCTGAGGGACTTATGGAGAAGATGAAGGAGCTCAATCTTCCTATAACCTCCATGCCTTACAACAGCCTTATGACTCTTTACTCAAAAGTTGGGCAACCAGAGAAGATCCCAACCATTATACAAGAAATGAAGGCAAGCAATGTCATGCTGGATTCTTACACATACAATGTCTGGATTAGAGCCCTTGCTGCCATGAATGACATATATGGTGTCGATAGGGTTATTGATGAGATGAAGAGGGATGGTCGAGTCACCGGAGATTGGACGACATACAGTAATTTAGCATCAATTTATGTTGATGCTGGCTTGTTTGAGAAGGCTGAATCAGCACTCAAGGAAGTGGAGAAGAAAAGTGCTTGCAAGGATCTTACTGCTTACCAGTTTCTATTGACCTTATATGGGCGAATTGGAAAAGTGCTTGAGGTCTATAGGGTCTGGCGTTCTTTGAGGGTGGCATTTCCTAAAACTGCAAACATTAGCTATCTGAACATGATCCACACATTGGTCAACTTGAATGATCTTCCAGGAGCAGAAAAATGTTTTCGGGAGTGGGAATCTGGGTGCTCTAGTTATGATATCCGGATTGTAAATGCTTTGCTAAGAGGATATGCCAAACAAGATTTGATAGAGAAGGCTGAAGAGCTTAAAGAGAGGGCTCGGAAGCGAGGGGCAAAGCCAAATGCTAAAACCTGGGAGATCTTTCTGGACTACCACTTGAGAAGAGGAGACTTCAAGCTTGCAGTGGACTGCATAGCTAAAGCTGTATCTATTGGTAGAGGAAACGGTGAGAAGTGGACCCCGCCATCTGAAATTGTTGATACTATGATGAGGCATTTTGAGCTAGAGAAGGATGTTGATGGTGCCGAAGGTTTTATAGGGATCCTGAAGAGTTCTGTGGATTCCCTAGGTGCTGAAGTGTTTGAATCTCTTATTAGAACTTATGCAGCCGCTGGTAAAACCAGCTCTGTAATGCGCCGACGATTGAAGATGGAAGAGGTGGACTTGAGTGAAGACAGTAAGAAGTTGCTTGAGGCAATAAGCGTGGATTAATTCATGCTTGGGAACTCCCCTGGAAGTTAGAATTGCGATGGAGGAAAATATCAGATCCAGTGGTCTGTCTGCGATGTTTACTTTGGTAATAAAATCAGAAAATTTGCTGAAAAATATTGTCACACATACAGTCCACCATGAAGGGCCCTCTTTTTTTGATTGTTCATTAAAGTGTCCCATTGTTCTACAGCCACATTCGTTTACTACTATTACTTAAGGATTGCTCCAATTTTAGAGCGAGGCTGCTAGAACTGGCCCTGTATTTGAAGTCCCAAAAAGGTTAGTCCATGGGAGCCTGACCAAGTTTTTTTGTGATAATGGTTTCAGTATGTTATGGATTTAGCATATGTGCTGGTTGAAGTCGAAGTCATCAGTTGATTCATCAGCGACGCATACCATTTGGGATTGAACAAAGGACTGGTTCTTGTAGGAGAAGATAAAACAAAAAGTTTTTAATCCCGTGATAATTATATACTCTTTCAGTTTTAATATAGATTAATTGTTGAGTTGGTTTTGGTCTAAATATAAGATCATTTCTTATATTTGTCAATTTTCTCTAAATTACCTTATAGATATTCTTCAACCATAATCAGGTAGAAGAGGGAGAGGGTGTATTAAGAAAGATGATTATGGTGCTTTAGAAAAAATATAATTAACTAACTTATCTAGTTTTTTAATCTAATCAAATTAACTTATCTACCTCCGGTCCTAATTATAATTGACTTTTTGAGGAGATTAAAGAAGTTTAAGTTAGTTATTTGTATAAATAAGTGTTGTCATATATCCTAATTAAGGTTGGTTAGAACTATCATTATAAGAAGGAGGAAAAAATGCATATATAGAGACAACTTATAATTAGGACTCAAACGTTTATAATGACCGGAGGTAGTATTAAAGAGCGGAGGAGTATTAAGAAACTTGGTAAACTTGGAGACGTTTATGTCCAATTTTGAGTGGCAAAGTCGTTCTCATTTTTCACTAACGTCCAATTCTTTTTTTCTGGGCCTGGAATGGTACTTTAATTAATCAAAACTTAAAAGGAGAAAAGAAAAGAAAACGAGACGGAAACAGGGGCCAAAACAGGGATATTGAAGAATAGGACTATCTTCACGGGCATTATTCTCAGAAATCGACTTTAAAATTGTACCCCCCAAAAACAAAAGACTTAAAAATGTCTAAACAAAACTGATAGCGAAATTGTCACCACCGAAGTTAGCCATAACTTCGTGTTGAAAAATAATTAAAAAAGTAGTTTAGGACCACACTGAAACGCTTGTGGGCGAGAAAAGATGGATCTCGCACCCACGCATGGGTGGGGGGAGAGAGCCCATGCGTATTTGAAGATCTGAAGAAACTACAATGAATGTTGTGTTACATAAAACTTAAAATTAACCTCTATTGTTTGTTAACAATGACCTTATGGTCCAATAGGAGGTGACATGCGAGTCTAATCTCGTTGGTTTCTTGAAGCATTGGAAAGCTTGATGTACTGAAAAACAGAGGAAAATTGATGAAAAATCGTTCAATGCAAAACTTATTATTTAAAAGTACATGAGCTCTAAGGACCCAGTTGTTACTTATTTTTAATCCGTGCAACTCTTTTTTAATCAGTCATGTACAACAAATATTCAACTGTGTGCAGAATGGAAGACACTTACACAAAGCTAAAGAAAAGTTGTACTTATTGGAGATGAGTTGCACCACCTTAATTCTTAAAAATCTAAAGACCACGGAGTCTATAACGAGGAATTTTTTTTAGCAATTTTTCTCAAAAAAATCTGCATTGTTATCTAGTTATAAATAGCATGAGTTTGGATGAGGAGTGGAGAGAAAAAGTGATGATGAAGGGGACAAGTGAAAGGCATTTGTGCATGAAAAGAACGTAGCAATGAGACTGAAATGGGGGGCCTGAGGCTCAAAGTGATGATAGATGCGCATGCCACGCATTCGCTTGCGGCTCAAGTTTGAGTGAATACCATCTGATTCCCTCCCCACTAACACAACACCATCACCTCTTCATTCTTAGCTTCCAAGTTATTCCTTCTCCCATTCACGTATCATCAATTCATTCATCACCATCCCCTCTAATAATTTCCTCATTTCTTGCCATTATCATCATCCTCCATATGTAATCATTTTAAATAATCAATATTAGTATATTGTGATGATTAACTACTACTTTTGACTCTTAATATAAGAGTTAATTAGAAATTCAATTTGGTTCTAAATATAAAATTTCAATCCGTTTCATTTCTCATGTTTATTTATTTTTTTCTCCTAAAATAGCTCTTATAATAATTGTGTATGTTAAAGGACTTTTATCAAATGGTAATTTCAATGCATATGATTAGGGATAGTATTTTAAGAAAGACAATAATCATTTATCATTCACAAATAGTTATCTAGCACTTATATTAAAAACTAAAGATAATATTATCTTAATCTGATAAAATCAATTAAGTTGAACTTATGCACCTATGTGCATGTGTCCGTATCTCTAAAATATCAACTAATATATAAGAATAAAATGATAAATTAACTATTACTACTCGTCTTTTTTTTTTTCTTGAATCAAACAAAGGATCATTAAAAATTTCTCCCTTCAAATGAGGCAATATTAAAGGGAAAGTGATAAAAGAATACCTATTAAATTTTAAAAAGACAAATAGATCATGCTGATTATTTTTATAATGATTTTGGCTATTCTTGTAATTGTTTTTACATATCAAAATATGTCAAGATCACCTATTAATCATTTTAAAATTTAATGGTTATTTTTTTTTGGGTTGTTTCCCCATATTAAAACCTCCCCTCCCCTCCCCTCCCCTCTAACTAAACACAAGCTCAGGAGCCTGTGATGTGAACCGGAGAAACATGAGCAAATGATTGAAATGCCCTTTATGGCAAAGTTTTTTTTCCCCCTTGGGAAAAAGAAAAGACAACATTGCAACTGGAAGACCTCAACATTAATAAGAGATTAAGAGGGTGTTTAGATGAAAACCAAACCATAGTTTCAAAAATGATTTTACGATATACGAAGTAAATATATGAATGAATTTATCTCGATTTACGAAAAAGTGCTTTTCAGAAGTATTTTTATGCAATACCAAACACCCTCTAAAATATTGATGACAGACATGCAAAGTACTTGAGTATATTTCGAGAAATGATAGCCTTATGCCTTCATCTACAAGTAAAAGACCTCCACTAGTAATCAGTACGTAATCTTCATCTGAGCTGCGTTTTCTTCATAAGTCACCCCTATTAATTATTAATTAATGCTATAATGTTAGGAATAATTACTCGCCAGTCTTCATAATCCCGCATCTTTTGTTTTTTGGGGCAACGAACTTTATGTTTCACTTTGAACTTTAAAATGTGTTGATCTTCCAGTCTTAAATACAAGAACATGTTGAGAATTTTCGGTTTGATTCTTGATATAGGGTTCAATTCATTTTTATCAGATAATTTTTTCATGGTATCCTCAGCATCGTTTGGCACACTACATTAAAAAAATGGCTTGATATCATGTATCTGGTATTGCGTCATATGACATATTGCTTCTTGTTGTTAATATAAGAACTAATTGACTAATTAAAATTGATTAAAAAAATTAGTTAAGTTAGTTATTTATAATAAATAAGTGTTATTTTACTTAAAATATCATTACTAATCAAGTATCATTTGATTAAATATTTAACAGCTGCAACTACTAAAAAGACTATTTTGAAAAAAATAGATAAATATGATAAACAAAAAAGATTAAGATTTTATATTTAAGATCAAATTAAAAGTCAAATTAACTTTTATATGAATACCGAAGATAGTAATATCATATGCTTGGGTGATACATATATATGTAGACAAAAATATCCTTTATTACAGATTTAAGTAGATTCATTAAAAACTACTATATCATACTACTATCTTAAACCCATAATATAATAGTTAATTTGACTTTCAATTTGATCCTAAATATAAAACCTTAATTAATTTTTTTCTCATATTTATCTATTTTTCTAATGTAATTCTTATAGTAGTTACACATGTTAAATATTCCATCAATTAGCAGTTCTAACTAATATACATTGTTAGCAAGAGTATTTTAAAAAATTCAACTCATATTTATTACAAATAACTAACTTAATAAACTTTCTTAATCTATCCAAATTAATCAACTAGCTTTTATATTAAGAACTATAAGTAGGTAGTACTATTATACATGTTAAGGAAAAAAATTATCTTTTAATGTTGTAATAATGTTAATCGTTGGTGATAATGGTGGCTTGTGGTGGTGGTACGGTGCTGGGAGGTAGTGATGGCTATTGAGATGGTGGTGACTAATATAATAGTGAGGCTCAATGACAATGATCGAGGTTTGTGGGGATGATGGCGGCCGCAGATAGTCGTGGCGGCGATAATAATCCAATTAAATGAGATGTTACTTTAAGAAAATTGTTACAAATTGTATTACATTCACATGAGGTATTATTTTAGCTTTGCCTTGTATGTCATGCCAAACAGACTTGACACGCCATTTTTAAAATCGAAATAATTAAAAGTTAATAATCCAATTAAATGAGATGTTACTTTAAGAAAATTATTACAAATTGTTGACAAATTGAATTGCAAAAAGAATCAGTTGACTTTTTTATCTTGTAACTAAAAAAATACTATCTTTTGTTTTTAATATGAGGCCTTATTTAATTTTTATTTTGATTCTAAATATAAAATCCAAATTTATTTTGTTTCTCATATTTATATATATTTCAAAGATAGTTCTTCTAATAATAGTAGTTTTAACCAATACACTTGATTAGTAAGGATATTTTAAAAAAGATAATATTTATTTATTATAAATAACTAACTTAATTTATTTCTTTAATCTAATTAAACACTTAGATTTAGAAATGGAGGAAGTATTATGTATTAGAACTTCTTTTGTTGAATGAAGGGAGCACGCCATATCATGTCTCAAACCCGGAATCTCTTAAAACATTCATAAAAAAGAGTATTTCAGAAATTATTTAGAAGCTTTTTAAAAGAATTAAAAAAATTTTAATTTTTGAAATAGTTTAGAGGAAAAATTAAAGGAAAATGTAAAAAAAAAAAAACCCTAGAAAATACGAAAGCACAATTCATTCCCCTGAAGCAAATCAAATTTTCCTACTCTCCTAACATAATTAAAAAAAAAGAGACAAAATATAAAAAAGAAACAGAAAAAAGAAAATCAGGTCAATGACGAAGGAAATATATTTACTATTTCTCTTTCAAAATTTTTACACAAGAGTTTTGGTATAATCAATGGATGACCTGTTAGCCAAAATGAAAAAAAAAAAGAAGGAAAAAGGAAGAAATTAAATATAAATATAATATGAATGACCCATGGGTCACTATAACCCTGAGAAGAAAACCCATATAACACACCCAAAAATGCCCAGAAAAAAATTTCACCTCTGCCTTGTGAAGGTGAAGGTCGATAATGCCCTTGTTAAGGACACCTATCATTTTTCCCAGGTCCACCATAGTAAAAGTAGTTCCCCCACACATTATTAATCCCTCCTTGGATATCATAACAATTCGGGTGATCAGCCAAGACCCGAAGATTCGTCAACGGAATCAAGTTGTTGTCCCAGTCCACAACCTGCAAGTTCCGAAAATAGGAGGCTTTCCCGAACCCCTCGCCCGCAAAATGCCCGCTTCCCATCTGGGTCGAAGTGTGCGCCCCGGAAGGATCCGAATTCACCACCTCCCCTCCAAACTGTACCATGCTCCCATGATCCTGTAGATGCGTGAATAAAAACGATGGCCAGTACCCAACCAGAATACCCGACCCGAATTCAAGCCACCAGTTCCCGTGCTTCGGATCCTTCACCCAAACCAAAACAAAACTCAAAACTATACTCTCACTGTATATAAATAATAATATAATTTTTTTTAAAAAAAATTGAAAGGCGTTATAGACATAATTATGAATACGAGCATGCTGGCCAGCTTGAGAAGCGAAACGGGTCAAAAAGTCGGGAAAGGAAAAAGGACAGGCAATGGAATTTGTGTTTTTTTAATTAATAATTGAATTTTGTTAAAATAATAATGAGATGAGCAAAAAAAAAAAAATTGAAAAGGGGATGGAGAAGAGAAGGCTCAGAAGGACTTTGGTGGGAAAAGAGAAAAAGAGAATCTTAAAAAGAAGCAAAGCATAATTTGAAATCACCAGTGCACGCGAACTAGAACTACACACACATGGTTCGAAAATTTGTGCACTATTATTATTATTATTTTTTATTTTTTATTTTGGTAAATTATCCAATGAATAGATTTTGTAGATAAATTTATTTATTTATGTGTATTTACTTTTTTCACAAGCAAAGAGAGAAATGATGGCTTTATTCACAATGTTCGAAACAGTGGAGAGGCCACTATTGAATATGTTGACCATCTTTTTCATTTGACCATAAACTCCAGCCACTTTTTTTAGAGCTCTACTTGAGGGGGGGGGGGGGAAAGTACGCAGATCGGACGGTGATGGGTTAGTCATCTGGGTCGACCTTCTATATGTCCTTATAGTGGGACCACAATGTCTGTCATAGGTTTTGGATTCAAACCGACACTTTCCTAAAAAGAAATTGTTATTATTGATATAAAACAGCAAAGACTTAACCTCTTAGTATGTTTTATCGGATCATGCATGTTCGACAAACTTCAACTTTTTCAGCCAATAGAAGAAAAACACACTTAACAACACTCTTCTTTGATTAAAATAAAAATTTATCGGGCAGTCTCACATAAATAATCTAACTACTAAAATGTCTTGTAACAAGTGAATAATCTGCAATAATAAAATCTAATATAAAAAATAATAATAGACGCATGGCGTTTATTTGTTATAAGACTTTTTAGTAATTATATTATTTATGTCAGATTGCATAATAATTTTTCATAAAAAAGATACACACAAGTTAGGTTGACATGATCAAATAGCATTTTGACCAAAAAAAAGAGATGATCAAATGGCAAGGATGTTATCTCTTAAACAAGGAATTAAATGCTGTATTCCTAATTTTTGTGTACGAAGTAAACCTAATTTAAAAAAGGTATGCCTTTTGTTATTTTTACCTTTAAGAGAGATTAGTCTCTATGAACTGATGAAGAACACTCATATCTTAAAAGAAAATTATGACATATATATATATATATCTCATGTCTGTTTTGTTCTTTAAATTTCATTATTCTTTTATTTGATGAAAAATAAGAGGAAAGGAGAGAACAAAAGGAAAAAGGGGGCAAGATGAAGGGTAATAAAATAGGTGAATTTCATAATGCAGGTAAAGTACCTTCCAAATGACTAAGCTAATGTCAAATTGTCCACCATTATAGGAAGAAGTGGGTGAGATTGCTGCCCCAATTGCAATTTTGTTGTTGGTTTGAACAAAGCCAGAGCATAATAAATTGTAGCACCCTGTTGCTTGATATGCATCACTCTGCAAAATAATTAAATAAAAATAAAAAACCCAATTACTACCTCTATTTTAACTTTAATATATTCCTTAATTCTCCAAATTTCTCTACTACATATTAAATTTACTCACCGTCCAGTAAGTAAAGAATCTGGGGTAGTTATCTCCATACAGCTCTGGGCTGACCTAAAAAACACAACAATAAATAAATAGCTTTCATTAAATATGCTGTGATGTCATGAATGAGTGGTAGGTAGCTGAGCTGCATAACTTCTTTGTAAATGCTTTATCATATATTCTGCATTTAAGAAAATTCCTGACAGCTATTTTCAGTGAAAAATATTTCAACCACTTTCTCTTATTTTTATTATAAGTTTTAAATAACTAATTCATAAATAATAAATAATTAGTTAAAATTTATTAAAAATAATAAATAGGTTAGAAGTATATTTTTGTTTTCAAATATGTTTTTATAATAAATGAGAAAATGGATGAAAAAGAACATATGAGAAAATATGATAATTAAGAACAACATTAAAAAAAAGTTACATTAAACGTTAAGACACAGCCAAATTAAAACTTAAAAAATACACCACATCTTTTTTTAAATTTAAAGCTTATAAAAATAGAGGGTGGAGCATGCTGTGGGAAAAGTAAATACTACTCCCTCCGTTCCTTATTATAAGAGATAGATAACCGAAATACGTTGATCAAAAAAAAAAATTAAAATTAATTAAAAACAATTAATGTGTAAAAAGTATAATTTGTTTTCCAAACATGCCTTCATTAATAAGGAAAGAGAATAGGAGAGAGAATAATTAAAATATTAAAAGAAAGAGAAGTGGGAGGGAGAGAGAATGTGGGTTGGAGATAATAAATATGGGTAAACTAGGAAATCAATGCAAAAAAGTAGAGACAACTTTTAAGTGTCTCTTGTATATAGGAATATACCATAAACATCAAATGTCTCTTATAATAAGGAACGGAGGGAGTAGTATTTAGTTGGGGAGGCTAAGCATTTTTCTAAAGAGTTAAATATGCAGTAAATGAGTGAACCTGCCAGCCAGCTTCAATGGGGTTGAGATCGTCCCCAAAAGAACCAGAGATGACCCAGATTTGAGACAAACTGAATTCATATTGATTCGCCACAGATGGGGCCCACACGTTTATGCTTGCTTTTGCTCCATAGTACTCGTCTCCACTCACATACCCTACGGCATGCTGCATCACATCAACACACAAGATTCAAACTTAATTACAATCTTAATTAAGATGATGCATTTGAAGAAAGAAGAAGAAGAAGAAAATGAGTTTGATTGGATTTGTCAGATTTTGCTTCTGCAGAATCACTGAAGAAAAGAGCTGATCTCGTCTTGATTGAGGCCTTGGAGTTTGGGGGGAAGTGAGATTATACTAAACAAAAAGAGAATGGCCATAAATGGGAAGAAGATGATGTTTCATTGAGAAAAGAGTGGGAAAACCCAGATGCCCAATTTGTATTTTTGAGATTTTTAAGAGCAAAATTTGCTTTGTATGGATTTTATGAGTTCTGATAAATTAGTCTACTACTCTGATATCTATCACCATGTTTACCAGGTTCTAATAATGGTCTCGGTCTTGTTTGTATGTTTGCTTTGTTACTTTGCTTCGTTTGATAGAAAAGACAAAGAAGAAAGAAGAAAGAAAAGAAAAGAAAAGAAAAAAGACAATCTGGGTTTGTATTGCTTTGTTCTGTTGTGTTTCATTTGTGAAAAGTACAAACCTCGTGTCCGTTTGTGTTGGTGTCTCTTCTAACAGGCTTTGGCAATTTCCTTCCGAATCTTTGAACAGAGCTTGCTCTCAGCACATCTTCTTCTCTTGTTCTTCTGATCGGAATCGTTCCTTCTGGACATGATCCACCAGACAACCTCCATAGCTGGAAATTCTCACCTAACATATCCCTTTTCTCATGCCCTTTTGGTCTCTCTGGAGGATCCTGCAAAATCCACCCAAAAAAATTTAGAACTTCACTGTGTCAATCACCATTCACTGAGCTTTTAATTTCTTAATCGGATTCTAAGAAATCTGTCCATGAAATTCGTGGAATTACCAGTGGTTTCTGTCCTCTTAACATGGGATGATCGAAAGCCGGTTGATGATGAGACACAACACAATCTATGATATCACCGTCAGGACTCTAAAATAACAGAACATGACATATTAAGGACGTTGTTCAGAAAAACAGAGGAAGAATGACAAAACCTTAAACTTTCTCAATAAGTCTGCGAATGAATACCTGAATTATCTTAACAGGGGGCTTGTTGATCTGTTGAAGACGAGTTCTTATGGCCCTCAACTTCTGGACCTCTTGGTGTGGGCGAAACGTCTGGTTCACCACTCCGAGGTTGTTGTTGCTGTTCATTTCTGATGAACAAAGGACAGGGCAACAAAGCAAAGACGCAAAAAGAAGGAAATGTACAAGAGAAGACGTGATTGAAGTTGAAGAAGAGCTCAAACACCAGCTAAAATCCATGCTTGAGAAATCTCTGCCTTCTCTCCTCACATCAAACTCACCAAACTGCGTGTAATCCATATCCTACCCAGAAAGAAGGAGAAGAAGAAGCGACCACTAAACTAAGAGCTTCACCATTCCCAAAATTCCTAAAGCTTCTTGGGGTTATATTAATGAGAAGTTCAATAGTGATGAAATCATGCTGAATTTTAAAATTGCGAAGAAATAAATATATATTGCGAAAGAGAGAGGGAGAAGAGAGAGAAGGGAGAGGGTGTGTTTCCAGTCTGCAATACAAGGACTGCAACTTTAGCTTTTGTGCTGTTCATTTTATAGGGCAAAGGATGGTACTAACGATGATTTCTGTTATTCTTTTCTTTTTTTAACTTTGGGTTTGAGGTACAGAATGCAATTTACTGTTTCTCATGGCATTTCGCTGTTCTTTCCTTTCTCACCTGCCTATATGTTCCTCCCTCCTTCTACTCTCTCCTATGAAACTTTTGGCAAAATCATACAAAATTTGTACTCAACAAGGTAACATATTAAGAATCACAGATGATGTTCTCAAAATTAAGTTCAAACCATAAGTTGTTGAAAAAAAGAAAAAATGAAAACAAAATACCTATTAAATTTTAAAAAGACAAATAAGTCATGATAACTATTCTTATAATGATTTTGACATATCAAAATATATCAAAATTACATATTTATTATTTTTAAAATACAAGTATTTTTTGTTATTTTTCCAAAAAAAAATTGAAAACTATGTTTAATCTTCTATATACAATATAAATTTATAAGAAGCTTTCATAATTTTAAATAGTGTGACTCACTGTACACTTGTTATAAAATATTTTTCTGATCCTAAATATAAAACCTATTTTATAGTGTAATTTATATTATAAAATAAGTCTTATATTTAAAATCAGAAAAGTATTAAGTATGAGGCAACAATTTAGCGGCTTAATTTTGGTAATTTCTGTTGCACACACAATATTTTGGTCTCAAATGTAAAATTGAAAATGCATGAGTTGACCAAAACCAAAGAAAATATATAGTACAGGAAGGGGGGAATTATGTTTTCCCCCTCAGTTGATTTAAAGGGCATTTTGATGAACATACTTTTTATTTATTTATTTATGTAGAATAATATCATCCTTAAACCTACATGTGAATGCTCATATAAAGGTAGGTGGCAATTATTTATTAGCCAATTTTTATAATTCTTATTCTTCGTACGAAGGTAGCTCTATTTATTTGTGCCTTTCTTAAGAGTGATATCATTCCACTCTCGGTAAAGAGATGGAGGTTTCCATTTTCCAATGGCATCAAGATTTAGCCGATTTTACCATCAAATTTAGTCTTCATGGTAAACACATGAGGATTTAATTTGGAGGTTCTGAGCTCGACACCAAGATTTAGACGATTTTATAACTTATATATATCATTAATAAACATTAATCAATAAATGGGAATGCTCATTTAAAAAAAAAAAATTTGTAAAGCGTGCACATATGTGTATTACTCTCTTTTGTTCTTAATAAGACATAATTAACTAATTTAAAAAAATTAAAAAATTATTTAATTATAATATATGTTACATGTTTTTTTAAAAATATTTGTGTGTATTATTAGAGTATGTATCCACTTATAAGTTTAGCGAATTAGTTTAGAGAAAAAAATAAATATAATATTTTAAAGTAACTTATATAATTTTTTAATCTCTTCAAATTAGTTATTTGGATAATACGTAGTTATACATGAATTTCAAAACATTATGAAAAACCTCAAACTCTTATAATGTACCACAATTTCTGTTTTTCTTCCTATTCTAATTTTGATGTTCGTTCTTTGGGGCCAATGAAAGTGAGAGCAAGTTGAAGATGTTGGAGAAGTGTTGCGGGCACGCGCACTCATGCTTACGCACGCTCCATGCGCATCAAGGTTTGTCTATGCCAAGGGGGTTTCAAGCTTTTATTTTGTCTTTCTTCCTCCATCTCTATCTCACACCACAATCCTTCTTTCGACTCAACACTCCTCAGGAAATTTTGGGCACTTTAGTATGAGGTTAATATACAAATTTATTATAAAAGTTTTCAGCAATCTCATTCTCTACCGTTAAAAATATTAACAGTTAACATTACTAATTTAATAATAAATGTTAATTTTTTTGAATAGTATGAAGCAACATTTTTATAATTTTAAACTTTTGGAAGCAAATTTGTATCAAAAAACTCCTGAACGTCTGACGCCCTTAAGTGAAAAATTTTAAAACAACTTTTAACTCTCTAAAATAACACCAAGCATTGCCACTGCTTCCAGTTCAATGAAAAAAAGGAAAATTTAACCCCATCCAAGAGTCTTGATTGGACAGGTCAAAGAGACCAATGGACTGATTTCTAGTTTGGTTGACTAATCCAAACTGGGTTTTAGTATCATGCTATACTGTTAAATTTTTTAATCTAGACCATTGGAAATATGATATTATTAGTAACTGAGTCAAATTCGAACATTTGGTTTTGATAATTGAAGAAAAAAATCACAATATTTCTTTTCTGTTTTTTCATCACTTCATGTGGCTCGAATATTAAATCTTATTTAAGAAGTATTGATGATTAGGTGAATTTTACGAGATTGTGTATCGCCAATCCAACTTTTATTGCTGGCCAAGTTTGTTCATAAATGGGTGGACCAGTACTAAACGTGATCGCCAACTTTTTGTTTTGATCGTAAGGAAATAGAAGAGGAAGAAACTGGATGGACGAGGACCAAACTTTTGCATATGAGAAGTTTAATTAGAATGTTTAATCACCAACAAGAGTTGATCTAATTAGTAAAGAATCGGCTCATAACCCACAAGGTTGTGAGTTCAAATCCCTCTGCTGATATGAAGATTTTGTTAGTGGGCGATCTGTAATTACCTCTGTAAGTGCTCTTTAAGTCTGGAAGCATGTTCTGATCCTTATGAGCCCCCGGAACCCAATTCACCTAAGTTTTTTTGTAACAAAAAAAAAGAATGTTTAATCATGTCTTCAATAGTTCATTCTATACTACTATCCCCGATCCTTAATGTAAAAGCTATTTGACTAATTTAAATATATTAAAAAAATTAGTTATATTAGTTATTTATAATAAATAGATTTTATTTTTTTCTAAAATATTATTACTAATCAAGTGCATTGACTAAAACTACTATTATTATAAGGACTATCTTTTAAAAAAAAAAGATAAATGTAAAAGACAAAGTAGATTGATATCTTATATTTAGGATCAAAATAAAAATAAAATAAGCTCTTATATTAAGGAGTAGAGATAGTATTAAAGACTGGAGGTAGTAATAGATAAACAAATAAGAAATTAAAAAATGACTATAACTCCATAGTAAATAATATTTTACGTAGAAAAGATATGGCCACATGCGTCTTTTTAATCCTCTTCCGGGCTGATTTTAAAAAGCATGTTTTCTTTGTAAATCCATCCAAAACCCTGAAAAGAAAATTTGTATGGGGATTCTATCTATCCTCTTTAATTTTCTTTTCTTCTTATTTTATTGTGATTCCAATAGGAAATACCCCATCAACGTATGTGTCTGTGAGTGCTGCAACGGAATTCGTAGCTTGTGAAGACTAAATTCTTTTCATTAAGGGTGCGGTAAAGACTGAATGGTAGCTTATTTTGTTAGAGGAAGTCCATTAATTATTTAATTTAGGCAATTGTGCTTCCTCATTTATGATCATCGTTCCAATATCTCAGTTATTTTTGGCCTATTCATATATATATATATATATATATATATCTGTCTCCTTAGGTTCTAATTAAAGCACTCCTTAATATTATAATATCGATACAAAGTACTACTCCCTCTTATCTAATTTGTAAGTTTCAAATTATAAAAAAATGTTATCTATTTTATGAACTTTAATTTAAGTTTGTTTTAATATTTAATATATTTTTCTCAATATTGTCTTTAATGATTTCTCTCTTACATCATATTTGACCATACATTTTCTTTCATCTTTTTTCTCATTATTATAAGGGTATATTTGAAAATAAAATATATTTCTAACATATTTATTTTTTAACTAATTTTAACTATTTGTTCGTTATTCGTAAATTAGTTATTTGAAGCTTATAATAAGAATATAAGGAAGTACTAGAAAACAACTTTTAATTAACTCAGACATAAATGTATCTTGAATTTCTCATAGGATGGAGAATGTTATGGGATTAAGGTACAAATTTATTTTGAAAATTTTTATTCAAGAGTACTGGGTATCTAAAAACTTTTTTTGAACAAATTTGTCCCAAAAGTTTAAAATCGTAACAATACTGCTCTCTATTATCAAAAAACTAATGTTGACCATTAAAATAATGATACTGGCAATTAACATTTTTAATGGTATAAGATTATATTACTATGATTTTAAATTTTCAGGACAAATTTGTTCTAAAAAAATTTCTGGATAGTTAGCGTTTCTGAGTGAAAACTTTCAAGACAATTTACACCTTAACCCTTATATATATATTATATTAGTAAACACACACATAAATATATATAAAAGCTTAAGTTAGAGTTTTATATGCAATGATCCGGTTCGTTGTCCTCTAGATGGTAATAGTTTTATCATGAGAAAATTGGATATAAATTAAAGACCAAAAAAGTGAAATATTTTATAGGAAGAACCAAATCCCTTAGATGCAGCTTCAAGAATCATTAATTAGTTTCATTGTTTCAAGATATTAGTCATTCTTTTATAAAATACGCACCTTAATATATAGTGTTTTCCACACTTAATAATTTGGCGATGCATATATGAGGTACATTTTTATTGCATATAATATATAATGGGTGGTTAAGGATTAGCAATTGTTCATACACAGAGCTACAGCACTGAATTCCCAGAATGTTCACTTTCTTCTTAATTAGACATTCTTTAGTCTAAGACGGGCCTACCAATCATGATGGTGTCTCCCCATTGAATCTCTTTCAGCAGCTTGAGGGCTGAGAAAATAAAAGAGATGTGCCACAAGTTCGAATGGAAAAAATAGAGAGAAAATAACATACTAGGAAGGAAAACTTTTTAAAAAAATAATACTGCCTCAGGTCTTAAATATAATACCTATTTTGTATGTATTTAGGACCGGAGGAGAATTTTTTATTATTTTTAAATTTTTCTTGATAGTATGATCTATCCTTCTGTTTTCCTCATATTTTTCATTCCATGTAAACCGAACTTAAATGTATAATACATCAATATTAACTTAAA